TTCCGTCTTTTGTTTATATGATCAAGTAATGATTTTTTACTGACTTTAAATGAGTGTAAGGGCCTAAAAAAATAATTATAATGTTTTTAAGGACGTATGCTTAGGGTAAATACTTAAATTTTAAAAAAATATAGAAGACAAGTAGCTTTCTAACTAAAATAGAGTGTTTAAATACATTTATTTTTAGAAACCGCATGCACTCTTGCAGGGCAACCACTGCCACTCAGCTGAATCAAATGGGCTCGATTTTGGGCCAGAGCATTTATCGTGAGTCGACGGCATGTTGAAGGCCCGTCTGGAGGAGGACGCCGTCCTGGGACGCTGTTTGGCCACCGCGTCCTCCGTGGAGCGGGGCGACTTGGTCCTGGAGGAGCGGCCCTTTGCCCGCGGTCCAAAGCGCGACAGCGGGATCGTCTGCCTCGGATGCTACCAGTTCCTGCAGTTCGGAGAGGACGGCGACTCGCTGGATCGCTGCGAACTCTGCGACTGGCCGCTGTGCGGATCGTGTGCGGATGAGGATGACGCCACCGATCACGGCGGAGAGTGCCAGGTCTTCTCCGCCGCACGTGTCACTTTCGCCGGGAATGTGAGCGATGACGGCGTCTGCCCGCAATTAGATTGCATAACACCATTGAGGTTAGTGCGACGGGGCTCCAGCGGGGTAATGGTGGCGTTGGGTGCTATGGGGGACACGGGGGATCTGGGGAACCTGCGGGAATATTAGTTCTGGCAGCCGCGGCCCATTTCTCGGAGATAGCATGTCGGCCGGCAAATAACGAAAACTCATTGCGACGACGTCAAAGAAGGCGGTGGATCAACAACAAAGTGTATCGCACAGTAGAGCAAAAATTGTAGAATATTATTTTATTTATTAAAAATCATTAGTTAAGTAGCTTTTAAGTATCAATCTAACGTCGAAACTGTTGAAAACCATTTTTACAAGCTAGTATTTAGAAATTTATTCTAAAATCTAGAAGTCAAATAATATTATTTATGATTATGGTAGCAATCTTAAAATGCTACTTGAACTTAAAAGCTGTACGTTAAACAATTAAAAATCAAAATATTAAAACTTTTATTGTTACAACTAAAACAATAAAAGTTTTAATATTTTAATAAGCTTCAAAAACGTATAAGCCTACTGTGTGCGACAATGGTAATGCATTAACGATTTTTCATTAGTCCTTAAAAAAAGAGATTTTTTCCATAACAAGAAATAAATTTATTAAATTAAAAACAAGAACGATCGGTTAATATATGTCCGATTTTTTCTCATTTCCGTTTAAAACATTTCCGATTAAAAACATTCGAATTTTAAAAGCGACATTTTTAAATTTTACATATATTTAATAAAAACATTATCAATTTTTTATTAAGTTCATCCTATAATTATGTATTCTAGTATTTTAGAAGCCGTATTGGTTTGATGACAAACATGAAACGTAAAAACTGTGAGCTATTATTTCTAGTTGTGTATTTTAATCCACCGCACATTTTAATATATACTTAGGGACATAGTAAATAGAAATAGACTGTTTGTTCTATCCATCAACTTAGGATATGAGTATTAGGGTGGACCAAAAATAAAATAGTTCCTTTCTTTCCATTATTCTAATATTAAATATTTATGGGCAATGTAATAACTCCTAATAAACAGGGTACATTTTGGTAATATATTGTCTTTGGAAACCAATTCATGCAAATAATTTGTATAAGAATCCCACAACTTTGGTTTGTAACCACTGTGCCCCCTGCAAATATGATGCTTTATGTCCGAGCAGGCCAGAATGTTGCTCTGTAGTGGGCCTTATGGCATCATCTCTGAGGTTTGCCCATGATCTGTGCTCGGTTAGCCGGCGTCAGTCAGCGAAATGACATCGACGTCGCCGCCAACGCCAACGCTGTCGGTGAATCGCACGTCGGTCCAATGGAGTCCGGTCTGCGGACGCTATCTGGTGGCCAAGGGAGCGACCCTGGGCCACGACCTGTTGATCGAGGAGCTCCCGTTCGCCGTGGGTCCCAAGTGCAATGGACCGGTAGTGTGCCTGGGGTGCTACGAACCCGATCCCGATCCGGAGGAGGAGTACTGCATCGATTGCGGCTGGCCGCTTTGCGAGGAGTGCTCCCGGAACGAGGATAACCACCACTTCCAGCTGGAGTGTCGGGTGCTCAGGGATGCGCGGGCACGATTCTTCCCTCTGCCCAGTGGGAGCAGCCACTGTCCCCAGCTGGACTGCATAATGCCGCTCAGGTGAAGCCCAGCGAGAGGAACAAAAATAGACCCAGGCACAAAAAAGCCGATACCGCCACCACTCGCATTTTTCGGGGGTGTAATCTCTAAATGTTCTCATTTTGCCGGTATTAAAAATATTGCATGAAATACATTGCTGATAGGAAGATTTTATTTTTTTTTTTAACGCTGCGATATTAATTTAATTTATTTTCATATCATAAAGAAATCTTTTAAAATTATAATATAAAATGTATATGTTTGAAAATATCGTTTGGATATATTCAGTGCACGTTATAACATTTTCAAGCATATACATTTTATAATATAATTTGTTATACCTAAAATTATCAAATTGATGTGTTTAATATAAATGATTATTTTTGCGTGACATTATTGGTGAATTATGTTTGATTTTATTTCCTGTTGTATATCGAAAATTTTTATCTGATATGGTTTATGTTTTTCTCTCTGTTAACTTTCTGTATTTCTGACTTCCAGGGTTCTGCTGGCCAAGGAGGCGAATCCCGGGCGATGGGACAGCGAGGTGGCCCCGATGGAGCACCACGAGGAGGAGCGGAGGAAAGACGCTGATGTGTGGCATGCGGATCGGGTTAACATTGCTCAGTATTTGCGGGGTCCCTGCAAACTGGCCTCCCGATTTAGCGAGGAGCTGATCATGCAGGTGGTGGGGGTGCTGGAGGTGAACGCCTTTGAGGCCAGAAGCTCGAAGGGTTATCCCCTGAGATGTCTCTTCCCCTACACCGGAATTCTGGCCCACAACTGCGTGCCCAACACATCCAGGAGCATCTATCCCAGCGAGGGCTACAAGTGAGTGGAAAAATAGCTATATTTAAAAACAAAAATTCGTACAAAATATCTGACACAAAAACATTATTCTTTTTGGTGATTCCAAATGATCAAAATTATTTAAAACTTATTTATTCATCTTCTACTGCTTAAAATTGGTATCCAAAATTTAGGAAGTAAATGTTTCCGAAAATTTGTATTATTTTATTTTATATATATTATATATATATATATATATATTTTTGTTTTATCCAATGAATCGATGGTCAAATATAAATATTTATATTTAAGTGGAAAAATCGTTGTGTTATAGAAGAAATTAAAATATAACCAACGAATGACCTCGAGTAATCCAATAGCTACAAATATTGTATAACAGGTCGATACAAAAACCAACATAAACTGACTTCTTATACATATGTTTATCTGAATCAGAAATATATTAGCTCTACTCATTAATTATATTTTCTAATGTCTGTTAATGCTTTTCTAAGAAGCTTATAAGCAAATGCTTTTCTCTCTGAAACTCATACCTACCATCTATTATCTATCTATATAAATCGATAGTCATAAAATCTTTTATTCCCGTCCGTCCTGTAGAATCCGCCTGCGTGCCATGGTGGACTTGGAGGAGGGTCAGCCGCTGCATCATAGCTACACGTACACCCTGGACGGCACTGCCCAGAGACAGGCGCATCTCAAGCAGGGAAAGTTCTTCAACTGCAAATGCGATCGCTGCCTGGATCCCTCGGAACTGGGGACACACTTTTCCAGTCTGAAGTGTGGTCAGTGCGCAGAGGGATACCAAGTTCCCAGGGAGCCGACGGGTAAGCCCGAAAATTCCAAAGAAATTGAATTAGCTTATCAAGTCCTTTCTTTTCGCCTTACAGAACCAGACACCAATTGGAACTGCGGCAACTGTGGATCCATCACCAGCAACTCGGAGGCACAAGCGATGCTCAAATCCCTCCAATCCGAAGTAAATGCTGTGCAAGCTTTGGAGATGGGGGCCAAGCGATTGGAGGAAGTGGAACGACTGCTGCGCAAGTACAAGTCCCTGCTCCATCCGCTGCACTTCATCGCCACGGGACTGAGGCAGCTGCTCATCGAGATGTACGGACGGGTGCAGGGCTACGAGATGGTCCAGCTTCCGGATCACCAACTGGAGCGCAAAGCGGAGCTCTGTCGCCAGGTGCTGCGAGTGCTGAACACCTTCGAACCGGGTCTGAGTAGAACGCGGGCGATGAACCTGTACGAACTGCACGTTCCTCTGGTGCTCCTGGCCAAAAGTGGGTTCATAGCCGGCAAGCTGAACGGCGGAGAACTGCGGGGTCGGCTCGTGGATGCCATAGATCTGCTCAAGGAGTGCGTGGAGATCCTGGAGTTCGAGGACAAGAGCTCCCAGGAGGGAGTGCTCTGCGTGGTGGCGAAGCAGGCGCTGGAACAGCTTACCCTCAGCGTGGAGGGCCTGGGAAGCGAACTCGATTGATTACTTAGGCATATCGGATAGCTTTATTGGGAACTGTTCAAGGGACACAAACTTCGGATGATAGTGTTACATTCAAAATCTTGTTAGTGCTGGTTGATGGTCGTAAATGTCAAAAGAACAATACACTACAACTAAAAAGTGATTACAATTATTACGAACTATTGCTGCACAGTATGATAAGTGTGTTTTTGTTCTCTTATTTTTTGGTATATGCGTCTATCTTCGGGTATATCGTAAATGCTTTTATAAGGACTTATACCCTAGCTCGGTATATAGCTATGTAGTATTGTATACAGTTGAGATTTTTTCGTGTCTCGAATTAGAATGTGCTGCTTAATTGGATACTGGTAAAAAATACCCCGGGTGGCCGAAGATTTCATTGGTGTTCATACATATAGGTGTACAAATGACCTAAGCATGCATTTTTAAACAAGCAATTGCAAAAAGTTCCTTATAAAATATTCATGTTCATTTTGAGTATGCTCTTTCTTCCCTCGTGGCTGCTTCCTTTATATTTATAATTTCAAACGATTATAAACTAAAGCATAAATTAAGTTGGAATCTGCATATAATACACAATACGAAATACGAATCAATTTGACTGGCTGTGGGTGGGGTGTTGAGGCTGATTAAAAGAAAATCACACAATAATTAAAAACTAAAAACACTCTCGGGCAGTTTTACCCGCACAATAAACACAGGGACAAAATATAAAGAATATTTCCGGGCCCTAGACCTCGTGGCTCAGAAGAGGCGTATCATGGTACCGCGAGGAGTGATTCAGGCTGGTGCAAGGCAGCAGCCACAGCGCCGGATGTCCGCGTCCGAAGACATCCGCCAGGAGCTGGTACTTGCGCCGGTTGGGCCGGTAGGTGCCCTTCTGCTGTATCGCCTCCACGGCCGTCTCGTCGTACAGAATCGCATGCAGCTGGTCCACCATAATGGCCGTCACGAAGAGCCCGAACAGAGCCGACACCAGCATCAGGATAACCGAGTGAATCCTGAAAAGGAAGAGGGATGACAGTGTTAAATATTATACTATTAAGCAATACAGAAAACATTTGTTAACTCCTACCGCAAGTTTAATCTTACAAGCTCTTTCATGCCTATGTGGCCTTTTCCAAGGTTTTACGCTATATGTTGTTACGAACTAATTACCTTTCCCTCAACTATATTTACAACCCCAAGAGCTCAATAAAAGCAACATTTTATATTAGAGGCTTGAGTGGGAAGGCATAAATTAGTCGTCGAGTAAGGTCACAATTACCTAGCATTCAAAATTTCACCACGTCATCGTATCATCAATTGTATCAGAGCATATTTAAATTTGGATCAGATATTTTGTATTTTTATGGGAGACCTACTCTTTTTTTTGCCACGCTTGCATAAACCTCCAAATTGTGTTGTATACGTGTTTAGAAATTATATAAATCAAATTGCTGCTCTAAGATATATCTATATCGATATGTCAAAATGGGACATTTTAGTAATGGAATACGTCAACTTATCATGACGTATTCAAGAGTGTCATGAAAAAAAGATAGTGAAATAAAAGTAATTACATATCTTTCTTTTAACTAAGAACTCCTCCCCAGCTTGCAATGAAATAGATTCGCACTTTGCATGCAGATGAGCGCACCCCAAATAAGGCCCCAGGTTCTCCCATTGTTGCTGCAGTGCATCTGCCCCCGGGACTTACATTCGCAACTGGGTTTCGATCACGTTCTGGCTACACTCCTCGCAGGGCCACACCCACGAGCCGACGATGAGGGCGATGGAGTAGAGGGAGAGCAGGGCCACGTAGATAAGGAACTGCAGGAAGTACTTCTGGTTGCGCTCGCCCACGCAGTTGTTGATCCAGGGGCAATGATGATCCATCCGCCGGATGCATCGCTTGCAGATGCGACAGTGGTGGGCCCGCGGCGGCCTGTACGTTTCGCAGCGGGTGCACACGGTCCACTCGCTGCTGTGGCCATTTCCCGGCGGATTGTTCTTGTTGGTGGTGTGCAGGTCAGAGAAGTCCAGTCGGTTGGCGGGGAGTGGCACGGTGCCCGGATCGGAAAACACGGCCTTGAAGTGGGACATGGCCAGCAGGAAGACGACGGTGTTGAAGAGGACCACATGGAAGGACATCCAGAGGCTAAGGGAAAAATGGGAAACCATTGGATCGACGTCTTCATTTGCGATGCAACCATATTACTCACCTGCCCGGCATCGTGGTAAGGATAATCCAGCGGATGACCACATAGTCCGCATACAGAACTGCTCCGTAGGTGACCACCAGGCAGGCGATGCCACAGGGATCCCGGATGAAGACCATTGCTAAGCTGGCTTGTGTTCGATTATATTGAACCGTTTGGTGTATTATTGCCTCTCCCCCTTTTTTTAATTTAATTAGAAACCGAAGGAGCTGATGTCCGTAGCCCCCTCCCCCTGAAAATCGACGGGTGAAAAATAACAATTGTTGCTGTACTCCCTCGGCCCGTTTGTCGGCCCTTGATCCACTCCTGGGTGGGATCAGAAGCTCCTGGCGGCGGTCTCGTCGGCTACCGCACTTTGCCCACTCACTGGTGGGTGCACAATTCACAAATCGAGTGTTTCATCGACTTTTTAGGGTTTATTTTACGCTTGAAATTGTCATTTATTTATTTAGGGTGACCGTTCGCAGAAAGAGCGAAAATATTGCACTGCCGAACAACTGGAATACCTATCTCTCATAAGCGCAGCACAATACATTCAAGGGGGATTTCGAATATTAAAATAAATTTAAATCTGGGAATAATAATTTTATATAATTTTAATAGCTAAATTTGACTTATTAATATTCACAAAATATACTCCAAAAGAATTAGGTTTTGACAGAACACGTTATATTTTTAAAACTCCAATTTCAAGAGCCTGTTAAGTTTGTTTTAAATTTCATACTTGAACAGCTAATAATTAAGAAGGAAAATAAATATGGTACTCAAGAAAGAACTTCATATAATCGCTTAAACCATTTATTAAACATAATAGTAAAATTATTAAAAAGTCGTTTAAAAATGCACACTCGAATTTACTCAATTCTTGGCTGTGTTTTCCTTGCCTCGCTCCTGTTTCTGGAGCTGCAGCTCCCTTTCGGCCATTCCCTCCTTTACCCAGGAGTGAGTCATCACCTCCACCAAGGTAATCCGGCCGTGGCTTTGCTTGCGGAGAAGCTGCAAAGATTAAGATGTGTCAGATAAAAAGATAACGCCTTAAAGGCTCCCACTATCTTACCCCGCCAATTAACTCCTTGCAACCCTTGGACAAATACGGTGGATAGGATATTTCCATGCGCCTGATCTTACTGTAGGTGCTCTCCGTGCTGTTCGACTCGAAGGGTGGGCAGCCGACGACGAACTCGTAGCACAGGATGCCCAGGCACCACTGGTCCACCGAGTCGTCGTAGGAGTTGCCGTCCACCATCTCTGGCGGCAGATAGTCTAAGGTGCCGCAGAGCGTCCTCCGCTTGTTGTTGGGCGTGTGCGCCGACCAACCAAAGTCGGCCAGCTTCAGATCGTCTGTGCTGGTCAGGAGAATGTTCTCCGGCTTCAGATCCCGATGGATCACGTTGTTCAGATGGCAGTAGTTCAGGGCATTCGCCACTTGGTAGGTGTACTTCGCAGCCCTCGGTTCATCAAACCGGTGATTGGGTGCTCCGCGCAGGTGCTTGAACAGTTCACCCTCGGAGGCGATCTCCAGGGCCAGATAGATCCGGGATTCATCGTGGAACCAGGTGAGCAGGCGCAGGATGTGCGGGTGCTTAAGCCGCGACTGGATCTCGATCTCGCGAAGGACTTGCCGCTGTACGCAACCTTTGCGCAGCTCCTCCTTGAACATGACCTTCATGGCCACCAAATAGTGCGAGTGGCGCTCCCGGGCCAGGTAAACGCGTCCGAACTTTCCGCGTCCCAAGTGGGCGCCCATATCGAAGTCGCGGGCACTCCAATCGTACCTAAGGAAACAACACTAAGTACGGTTTTTCAATTTATAGGGCTTCACTCACGGCTGGCCGTAGGCGTCGTGAGACATCATCTTGAGGCACATATTCTTGATCGGCTCCTGGTGCTCCTCGGGCACCTTGGTGAGCAGGTGAGGCAAGTGGTTGCGGTTTGCGTGCTTCGTGCGGGAAAGCGTCATGGCGCTGACTTATCAATTAAAATGCAATGAAAACAAATAATATGCTATTTTGTATCGTATTTTCCTTTTGGCGTCCCTTCTATTTGCGCGTTTTTTTCGAATGCTGAGATTAGAGTGACCGCATACTACTAACGACTCAATCTGTGACTTTTCACCGAAACGGTAGGGTGTTGTCACTGACTTTTTTTAACAGTATGTGCTAAATTTGTATAGTATCAGAAATATTTAAGATAAGCTTTATTTTATTTAATTAGGAGATTGGTGAATAGTTTTAAAGTCAACAAAAATGTTTACTAAGAAAACGACAAAAAATGTAATTATTTTGGGACTCTATATAAATTTTATTTAATTTCTCGGTGTTAGTTACTATTTAAAACTCAAGATATACTCTCCAATTTGATATTATGGAAAATCGTGCGTTCCACCAGTTCAAATGTTGTTGTTTATGTGCAAATAAAATATTGTGATAATCTGAGTAGTCTTTTAAAAGTCTCAACATTTATTTCCGGTTGGCTTAAGTGTATTATCAATAGGTTGTTTTTGAGAAGAAATTTACAAAATGTGTTTACCGAAAACATTTAAACTTCTCTAGTCTTGTATCAAACATAAGTAATACAATACTTATTGTTAAATGTCACTATGATGGTAGGATTATTAACATATAGCTTAATAGAAAAATATTTCAATGTAAATGTTTTTTAGACTCCTTGGCTAGCTGAAAAGTCATATATATTTGTAGGTCACGGATACCCCTAACCAAGGTATCGATACTTTCATGCAACCAAATTTTACGGCCTTTTGCGTCTTCCGAGAACTGGGCACACTTGCCATTAGTCACTTTTTTACACAATAAACCAAAATTATGCGAATTTGTAAGCGCATTTTGGCAGCTTTAAATCAGATCGAATAGAATTAGAAACCAGCAAGCCATTGAAAAAACGCGCAGAAGGTTTCTCCAGGCAATAGCAAAGCAAAAGCCGTATTTTAGACGCCGTGACGCACCAAAAATCGATTGCCCAGGGAAAACAAAAGGGAACCCAGACAAAGATTACACTGATTTGGATTTTATTGACCCGGGGCAGCGCAGATTGTTGGCAGATAGCTGAGCGAGCGTTTGGTCATTAAAATGGGCATCTTTGGGCAGTCGTCGCCATTCGACGCCGACGTAGGTGAGTGTCTATCGATAACCCAGTGGGTGGGCTGATTGGACGAGGCGCAGTTCCAATTGGGTTGCACATCTGACCATTGCATTTCATAGTTTTCTAGTTTAATCTTAGGTTTCAACCCCTGCACATCACCCTTTTTCCTCTAGAGCTCAGATTCCCCATTAACCAGACAACAAAGAAAGTCATGTGAGATGCTGTGCGCAGCTCTGCGTCGTTCGTTGAACTTCTTATTGGAGTTTTTGTCTGACAGTCGCTGACCTTGAGTGACGTAGTACGAATACCACCCCCTGTCTCACACCCACCCCCTCCTTTAATGCAATTTAGCGCGTTCCCAAGTTGTATTGATTTTCTAATAATATTGCAATCAGTGTTCAAACTGCCTTATCTTTATTTGGCATGAGTCAGAATAGGATTTCTGATATACTGTTAAGCTAATTTGGTTTCTTTGTTTCTAACATTATAGAAAAGGCCACCAGCGAGACTAACACCAACGACGACTGGTCTCTGATTCTGGATGTCTGCGACAAGGTGACAACAAATCCTCGACAGGCCAAGGATTGCCTTAAAGCGGTGATGCGCCGAATGGGCCACACTGATCCTCATGTGGTCATGCAGGCGATTACACTACTGGACGCTCTGTCCAACAACTGCGGAAAACCGCTTCATTTGGAGGTGGCTTCACGGGACTTTGAGACCGAATTCCGCCGGCTGCTGCTCAAGGCGCAGCCCAAGGTTTCGTTGGTAAGTATAATAAACCTATGCTCTTTTTCTCCTTCTATAGTATTTTCTATGACCCGCAGAAAATGCGCCAAGTGCTCAAGAACTGGGCTGATAACGACTACAAGAACGATCGGGAACTCGACTTGATACCCGCCCTGTACGCCCAGCTGCGCCAAGAGGGCCACGACTTCAAGAATCTGGGTGATAAGGGCAACAAGACGGTCGCCGAGAAGGCCGCCGCCTTACCCAAGGATCCGAATGTGGTCAGCAGCCAGCAGGAGGAGGACGACATAGCCAAGGCCATCGAACTGTCGCTGAAGGAGAACAAGGGCAGTCCCAAGACCGGGAGCGGAGCAAGTGCTGGCCCCGCCAGTACCTATCCCTCGTTGTATCCTTCCTTCGGTGCAACCACCTCTACTGCCCCGAGCAGCGATGCCAATGCCACTTCTGCTCCGGAACCGAGAAAGGTTCGCGCTCTGTACGATTTCGAGGCGGCGGAGGAGAACGAACTGACCTTCTTCTCAGGCGAGATCATTCATGTGCTGGACGACAGCGACCCGAACTGGTGGAAGGGGTACAACCAGCGCGGCGAGGGCCTCTTCCCTTCGAACTTCGTCACTGCCGATCTGTCCGTCGATCCCGAACGTCTGGACATCAATCAACAGCATAAGACGGCCGCCGCTGCCGGGCAAAGAGAGTTGGACTCTGCTGCGGCGCTGCAGCAAAAGACTGAAGCGGCAGCAGCTGCCGCCGCTGCTCAGCCGGTGGAGATCGACGAGTCAAAGATCGACCGGCTGTTGCACTTGCTGCACGAGGCCAATCCCGAGGATCCCTCGCAGGACAGCAACGAGATGCTGCAGCTGGAGCAGGAGGTCCATCAAATGGGTCCGCTGATCGATGCCGAACTTGAGCGTGTAGACCGCAAGCACGCCCAGTTGACGCAGCTGTCCAGCGACCTTGTGGACGCCATCAACCTTTACCATACCCTGATGCGTGACGATAGGGTTGCGGCTGGACAGTTTTCCGCCGCTACTGGTGGCTTTATGCCTGGACTGGCTGGCTTTCCGGGTGCCGCTCTCTACGGATCTCCAGGTTACCCCACTCCGGGTGGTTTCCCTCCGACCCAAAACTACCCGGGCATGCACTCGCTGCCATATGGCCCCGTATCTAACCCTCCCACTGGACCTCCATCGCAGGGTCCTGGAGCTCCTGGTGGTTATCTGGGACAACCGCAGGGACAGGTGCCACTTCCCTATCAGAATGGTCATGCTGCACAGATGAATTGTAAGTATAAAGAAACATTAACTTGCTGGTCAAAACTTCAAAAAATTATACAAATCGTAAAATTTTTGAAATTTCTTATTTTTAAGAAAGCAATCTAATATTTTACAATCTCTATTTCAGCGCTGCCGCCCCATCTTACTCAGCCCGCTGGTGGTGCACCCGGTCCCCAGCCCCTCTACACTGCTCAGCCCATTCCTGTGACCAACCAGCAGCAGCCGATACCCCAGCATCCCCAGCAGCCACCGCAACATCCCCAGAACAGCTACCACATTGAGCAGCAGTCGCAGTACGCCCAAGTTCCGCCAGCAATCCCACAAATCCAACAGCCGCAGCAGCCGTCAGCTCCCCACGCCTACATGTCGCCACAGCATCAGCAGCCACCGCCTCCACAAGGATACCAGCCTGGACCTAATCTGTATGCACCGAACGGATCGCCAGCCGTCAACCCACAGAGCTACATGTCACCACAGCAGCATCAGCATCAGCAGGCGCAACAGCAGCAGCAGCACCCACCACTCGATCAGTTCGGTCAGCTGCACCAGCAAATGGCCGCCATGTCCATGGCTGGGGGGCCGCCTGTTGGGGCGCCTGGCTATCACATGCAGAACGATGCTGTCAAAAACAACATTCCTATCTACCAACAGCAGCGGTAAGACCGCTGGAATAAAATAGAGCCCTTCACCTGGTTTGCTTTAGTTTTCCCCAAAACGAAGTTTTCCTCCTGTCTTTCAAAGGGATGTACTTTAATTTCGTACAACTTGTTGATGAACAAAAGTTGTCAAATCTCTTCTATGAATATTTTGTGAGGGCCGAGAGAAGCAATTGTCAGTGAACCAAAAATTTTGACTATCCTTAAAAAGAATGAAAGAAGCCAAATTAATTTAAAAATTGTTATCCCTCACATTTTTGGTTTTTTAAATTTTTTATTACATCCTATTTTGGCCTGAGTGTTGTGCAGCCAAACAATATGTTTTATGGAAGAAAGATAATCGATATATATATACCATATAAATATTATTCTATATTCAACACCATGTATAACTTTGTATTTAGTGCAGGAGAGATAACTATTATGTAATATGTTTATTGTACGGATTATGATATGATAAAAATAACGAAACGAATCACATTCATTAAAACCATTAAAGTATACTAAGAAAACAATGTCTTCATTATTGCTTTGAAAAGATAGAACTACTAAGCAAAAACATCGTTTGCCGTCAGTGACGGATCTCCGATTGAATAAGGATTCGGCGGTTTTAAGTGAGTTAGCGTATCCATGCGTATTCATGTCTATAAAAATGATAAGAGATTGGGTCGAATTAAACAATAAATTTTAACTCATAATTATGACTAGTCACAAAATTACGCACCGAGCTTACTAATTAATATTCATTATTTGCCTACCCTGATCATTTTTCTTATATTTTATTTTACTATTTATTTCTAATTTGAAGGCTTTAAAAATACATTGACAAGTCGATTCAAAATATATTTAATTATTTATAAAAAACGATTTAATAAAGTTTTGGAAAAGACTTGGAATAAGAGTATAAATCTCAATATCAGAGTTAATAATAATAATTCGTAATAGATTGAGTATAGTTAAAACTGACGTTTATTTTTTTTAGAAGTTTAAAGAATTTTTGATGTGTTTATTTGCAGTGCATCAAGTGTTGACGTTCTTAACGTGGTTGGCTCCAATCAAATTAGCTTATCCCCTTTAAGCAGAACCCAAAATCCGTGTCGGTGCACTTTTCAGATAGGATTCCAATATATTTCGAGCAATCCTTGCCACATGCCAATGTCTCGCATGCCAACAAACATGCAACAATTCAGCAATTCCCATTCGGCGTTCAATGGCACAAATATCCTATGAAATAAACTGTCAAAAAGCGAGACAGTCTGAGCTTAGTAAATAGAAAATGTCAATAAATGCGGAATGTCACAGCAGCAAAACAAGGCAGAAGACAGACGAACAGGTTATGCAAATATTTGTTGATTCCTACGGGCTGGTAGTTGCCGCATAACTGCAAGAATGTCAACAAATGCATGGATATTTTTTAAATTAATTGATTTTGCTGTCCTTGCACCCCTTTCCATCGGAGTGGGCGTGGTGGGGGGCGTGGGAACACCTGCACCTTGTTCGTCCTTTGCCCTTGGGCTGTGCAGTTGTGTGTTGTTTGGTGCCTTTGTGCAGCAGCTTCCGTTCGTCGTCAACTTTGATGCCGTTTTGCTCAGTTTCGTTCTCGATTTGATTATTCCGCCGGGTGATTTGCATTTTGTGCCGTGCTCCGCTGCATCCTTCAAGTCGGATGGCATTAATCAGAAACAACTGGCTCAAGGACGACCCTTCATCCGGACCTGTCTGCTCCTGCTCCTGCTCCCGAGAGTTGGCCTGCTTTTTTCCAACACTCGGCAATAAAATCAAATGATGCGGGCATCGTAAAGCTTCGCGCCTTTCGCGTTTTCTATGTCATAAAAGTCTACACGTTACCATTATTGCGTTATGTATCGTATTGCCATTTTTGTGCCCGGCTGCAAATCCCCGGTACCACGGACCACGGACTATGGACCATGAGGGCCAAACCCTGGCTTTCAGGCCTGCGGATTGTGGCTTTTAAAGCGGCATAAATGATTCCCTTTTTCAGCTCTTCATTCGCTGCGAATGGCACCAAATTTTTTCCCGCCATGTGGAAAAGCGGTGAAAATGTAATAAAAAAAAATTGTTTGAAAAACCAGGCAGAAATGGGGTAAAGAAAAAATATTTATGGCTATTTGCTTTTGATATTTATTCAATGGTCTATTGTTTGCCGATAAGCTGTGAATAGTTTTTGGTTTGTTCAGTTTTTTTTTCCGCCGTTGTTTAGTCAACAGTTAGTTAGGTTCAGTAAAATATGGGTTATTTAACAGGAAAAATTGAAAGATGGTCGTCAAGCAGGATTCTAAATGGCTGAATAATTAAAAATTCGGCGAAAGGGATTTAAAGTCCTAATTTTCAATAAAATTTTGTCTTTTCCATGTTTAACAAATGGTGATCTTTAAATTGTAAATATACAGATTATTTCAATGGTCTTGGTTTTTGATTATATTGTATTTTAAATGCTAAATGTGAACTACCAACATTTTTTTGACATTTGAAAAATGGTTTGGAGTATTAAGAATTTTCCTAAAAAACTACTTAGCAAAGCAATTTCCTTAGCATATGTATGTAAGTGGCATGTTGACTTGGCAAGACTATTTATTATTTGTAAATTTTCCACAAGGTCACGATGCATTCTGTCTAAGCTCTTTTGAACGTCTCGTTTTTCTTTAAGTTGTTTTCTGGAAGCGTAATTTTAAACTTAACGACCATGAGCTAGCAAAGTTTTTCAAACGAAAGTGCTTAATATTGTTTTGCAAGGAAAAGTGGTAATGAAAAATGTACACATAATATTCATCTTGTGTGATTGAGGGTGTTAGTCATTTTAATTGCGCGACAAACTTTTAGGATCCTCTTTATTTATTTCTTATCTTCCTTTTATTGTTACTAAACAAATAAATTTGTTTTTGCGATAAACCAGTTGATTTTCCAGTCTCTTAAATTTAATGCAGGCCAGAACCAGAAAGTCGGTATGTGTAAACAAATTCCGCAAAACTGTTTTTTTCGGAGAGGGAAAAGAAAAAGCGCAAGCAAAATGTCTAAATAAAGGCGTGTATAAATTTGCATTCTCTTTGTTCCGTTTTCCCTTGTCTTGTTTTGTTCTGTTTTTTCCTTCTTTTCATTTGGCACAACACACATTCCATGTGCTTACCGTGCCCCTCCAGTTTATCATGCATTAATTAACGATTCAATCCAACTTCCATGGCAGCTCTCTTGAGCCGTGCGAACAGCGAATACACAAACTTGAGCGAACGGCTTGCACTGCATTTGGATAAGTTGTACTCGAGCACACTACAAATACCCAGTGATGGCATGAGTACCACTTCTTTCAAGGTGGGGTACACTTGGCCACAAAATCTACACGCTTTTTATTATCCTTTTAAGGCAGGATGTGCGAAGAAATTGTGTTAAAAATTTACATGTTCAACAAATATCATTCTTTAAGTATTTTATGTTCCAACTGATATTGACAAGACTTACATATATATTAGGTGTACTGAAAATGTATCTGCCATCCAAAATGTGTATGTCATAGGAACTCTCTATTTTTGAATAATAATGGTCTACCTTGTACCACTTTGAAATCTGAAAGGTGAACCCGCAATTTAAAAATATTTTTACTTTATTGCTCTTTAAAAGTACACCTCTGTCTAAAGATTACTTAGTTTAAGTCTTAGTTTTAGCTCAAAGGGTCTATAAGTCGAACTTGTTTTATTGGCAATAGAAAAATTGGTAAAATCCATTCTACAGTTTGAGGTCTCCGTAGACTTAAAGTCTCAAAAGACTGTAATATGTATTTAAAAGTCATATTTATCCTTATTTCAAATATTTTTTCAAACCAAAATAATGTTTTTGACAGTTGCTATAAGACAGTTAATTTTAAGTAGACCGTCATCAATTTTGAACTATTCTGGATAGAAACTTTTACAAGAATTAAAAAAAAAAGGTTTATCAATAAATGTCAAAAGGATTCTATAATTGATACCATGTGTGTCTTAATTTGTAACCTTACATTGTTATCATGTTTGTACGGTGTAGTGAAAATAAGCACCCATGGATATGTGCCTAATGGGCATCACTGGAATTGGGTGGTGGAGTGGGTCGTGTTGTTTCTAAATCACAAACACTGGCGCACACTCGTTCACGCAGCTGCATATTGACTTCCGTTGAAGTTGGGCGCGTGATTGAGCCAATGAGTGATTGGAGAGCTGTGAATGATTGAAGGCCTTTGTCGGAGTGTAATTTAATTAAACAAATCAAAGTTGTGCACCGAATGGGAGGCGGTCCCGTGCCATCCGAGTGTTTTTCTGTTAATTGAAAATGCGTTCAACGAACGCGAATAAATATGCCGACAGCTGGAGGAGGGGCAGGAGGTGGGGTTCGGTGCTTTTCCCGGCCTTAAATAATTAACGGGGAAATTCGCACACTCGCATGGCTGCCTCTGGGTTTTCCCACTGCATTTACTGCCGCCTTTTAGGCGCTTTATTATTTTACTTTTTGGGGGAATTTGTGTTTTGTAATTGTGTTTGTTATCGCGTTCTATTTGTGTTTAATTATTTGCACCATCACCTCAACAAAATGTTATAAATATAAAAGCAAATACTTATGCATGAGGTGTATTTCTTTGCTTCCGGTCGACGACCAAAATTAAATGTGTGGGCACTTAAAAACATACTCATTTGCTGTGTAAGCACTTAGCTTTATTAGAATTTTGTTTCCCAATAATTTCAAAAATGAGCATATGACGTGAACAATTTATGTAGTTTAAATGCTGAACAATTGGTGAATATAAGATTTAAGGCCAACACATGGAAGTTTAAACGAATAATTAATTTTCTCTCACAATGATATTTATTCATATATAGTTGCCAATTAGAGAATCAATAGAGCATTGAAAAATATACTTTATTGTAAACTAAACTGTTATTAAATAATAAATAAATCCGACACTCTAAACAGTTTTAATTGATATGGAATTTCTCATTGGCCTACATTTTTGTATACATTTCAGCAACTAATGTTGCAGTTTTTATAAAAATTCTGTTCTTTATGAATAATTGTAAAGCGTTATTAAATTTCATTTGCACTACGAAAATTTTTTAATTAACTCAAACTTAATGGAATAATCGTGCTTATCGTGTAATTGTGATAAAAACAATAATAAACGCCTATAAATGTAAATGGAGCTTTCAACTATCTTTGCTTAAGCACTCAAAGTTATTCCGAATGTTTATTTGTTAAATTGTAACTTAAAGAAAGGGTTAAGTGGCTTTCTCAGCAGTATCTATTGCTCAACTTTAAGACATCTCTCCTTTCTAAGCCGTATATATTTGTGAAAATTTGTGGCATTGTTTTCCACTATCCTGTTATCCTGCCGCCGCCTAACACATTTTCCGAACACGATAACTTGGCTTTGATGCATCCAGCCACTTGCAGCTGCCGTTGACACATTTTCCGCACACATTTTCCACACCAGTCATTAGGAAAGTGATGACACAAAAGAATTTGTTGAGCCCGGCATGGGTCCATGCTCGAGCCGCTTTATTGAAAACTTATTCGCCAGCAGGGCTGGGGCTGCAATTAACAGCTCGAGAAAAGCAACAGCAGTTTGATGTACGAGTAGATGGCGACAAAGTGGATTTAATGCCGAAAGGGTCCAAGGCAAGTAAGTTTTATGCAAATTGCATGTAGCATATACCCCAGTGGACGGGGCGCAAAAAAGATAAATTACTTTTAAAGTGCGCAGAGGCAGAAATGGTCTATCCTCCTTCTCAGTTTTCAGTTCTCAGTTTTCAGCTCCCAGTGCTAAGTTCCCGTCTCGGCATTCCGGTAGTACTTACTTCTTCATCGGGCCGAATTGCAAATGGGGCTTGCCATTTCCCATTTTCCATTTCCCATTTCCCTGTCGCCCTGCACTCGCACTGCTGATGATGACTTTCTGATTTGCTTTGGCGAAACAAGTTTCCCATGTGCAAGTTTTTAGATAGTTTTGCCCTTTGGGCTTTTCTGTTTGGCAGTTTGTATATTATTTGTTAATTGATATGTCGCAAAAAGTTTGAGCCTTGCGTGCGGGGGGTGTGTGTGTTAGTCCATTTGTTATAAAACTTTGTAATGCCGAAATCATTGCAAAGCTCTTAAAAATCGCCTGGTCTTCTTCCGAACGAAAATAGTTTAGTTTTACAAGCATTCGATTGGTAAATACGAAATTTGATTTTATCAAAGCCACTTTACTTTTCCCATAAAAGCCATCTATTATCCTTACAGTAATCACTTTATAATTTCACATATGGCCAAGGCAAGTATAATCAAATTTGGATGCCACAGAAACAGCATTTCTCCAGAAAAGTTATTGAGCAAGGTGCTGGTTGAACCCGAACCCGAGTTTTTTGTCGAGTTCAGCAGAAAGCCAAAGTGCTGGGAACACAGGTGCACCTGGACCATGTTGGTCGTGCTCTGCATTCGGGTTTGTTTAACTATTTTCTATTCATTTATGCATTTTGCTAATAAAAATTTCATTTTTGCTTAACTAAGTGAAACGAAAAGGTTAAAAGCAGAGAAAGGAACTCAGGGAAACGGTCTGCGAACAATGGAGGCTTTTATCTTGGCCGAATGCTGTTTGGTCAAGCCTTTCCGCAAGTACAGTGGTCACTGGCTATATAGGGTGTGGAAATTCAAGCAAAACTTGGCTGTGAAGACGGTTTGCTTGTCCCGGATTTCAGTTATGATAAAAAGAAATCACTTTGGCTATAATTTCGTTTTCCTATAACCCACAAAAGTATTTGGCAAAGAGTCCTTGCACTGTACATCCGCTTTTGTGCCCGTTGTCTTGTTGCCTAGATAACATTTCCGTCATTCCCTTTTGTTGCTCCTTTTCGGTTCCTGTTTGTTTGCAAACATTTTTTAAATTGTTTGCTGTAATTTGTTTCCGGACCCGGACAACAACAAAAAATAGGCAAATGGCCCTAGCGCCATTTTTCGAGCTGTGGCAGTAGTGGGCGACGGCCACGCCCACTTCTCTTCTGACCAAAAACGAACTAGAAATATTTCTGTGCAGTCGCTGTGTATGTTTTATGATTAAAAAATTATAATTTCAATGGTTGTCTGCCGCTTGGCTCAGCACGTTTGCTCCTTTTTTATGTATTTTTGTTTTGCTGTGCGGCGGCGACAGCTGTAAATCCCCTGCCCTTGCCCAATTAATCGGGGATCCCCCCAGATACGTCCACTATTACTACCGAAATTCAGCAGCCCCAATCAACCTCTGCACGTTCCCATGACTTTTATTAGTTTGACTTTTTCGGCGAGGATTTATGGTGGACTTTGTATATCTATGCAAATGTTTCGCAGCTGTGTCACCCAAATGCGTTATTCCACTCGGGTATAAAAATATTTTTTGTTTGCTTGGCTTGTTGCTGCTCAATTATTAACAATAACGCAGTTTTAAATTTCAAAATAAATGTTCCATCAAAGGTGGTTAGTATATCAAATAAATTGCATTTTGGCAAATAAATTAGATGTTTACTTTAATTATACTGAGTAAATGATATATCAATTACTACGATTATTTAGTTTTACTGACTGAAATTTATTGTAAACAAGAAAGGAAAGCTAACTTCGGGCGGAGCCGAAGTTGATATACCCTTGCAGAATATTCTGTAAATTATATTCTCCAAAATCGGATCGGTTATTCATATGATGCATTCTTAATACTCATAAAAAATCCCTACTTCCTAACTTTAAAAACACCAAAGTTATGTCATTTCCAATAGTTCAGTTATATGGCAGCTATAGGATATGGTCGGCCGATCCTTATGAAATTTGGCAGGTCGGATTGATTGTCCAAAAATAAAACCCATAAATAATCCCAACTTTCTAACTTTACAAACACCAAAGTTATGGCATTTCCGATCAATCAGTTATATGGCGGCTATAGGATATAGTCGGCCGATCCTTATGAAATTTGGAAGGTCAGACTGATTGGCCAAAAATAAAATCCATAGATAATCCCAACTTCCTAACTTTAAAAACAGTAAAGTTATGGCATTTCCGATCGTTCAGTTATATGGCATCTATATGATATAGTGGCCCGATCCGGCTCGTTCCGACTTATATACTACCTGCAATAGAAAGACAACTTTTGGGAAAGTTTCAAGCAGATAGCTTTAAAACTGAAGGACTAGTTTGCGTAGAAACGGACGGACGGACGGACAGACGGACAGACGGACGGACAGACGGACAGACGGACAGACGGACATGGCTAGATCGACTCTCCTGGTGATGCTGATCAAGAATATATATACATTATAGGGTCGGAAATGTCTCCTTCACTGCGTTGCAAACTTTTGACTGAAATTATAATACCCTCTGCAAGGGTATAAAAATATCAGTCTCATAATTGATTTTAAATGTTTTTTAATTCCAAGTTTAATGTATATTCTGGCTCGAATGCGTCATTTCTTAATTGCCTTAAATATTTGACGGCAAACTTTTTACGTCATTTCTATTTTAATTTATTAACAAAATAAAAATAAATCGAGTCAGAAATAAAGTTTGCCGCCTTAGTTGCCACGTGCTGCAGTCGAAAGCCATTGAAACGCACGTAGCAAAGCGGACTATAAAAATAACAAAAATATCATCATTTGCAATGCAAATAGTGGTAGGAAAATCTAAAATTTAATTAAGTTCGCAATTTGACAAAAACTTATGATTTGATAAGTTTCCGGTCATTTTTCAAGCAGTTATTTTGCGCATTCAATTGCAATCAACTGAATAAGCTCTTAGCTGTTATTTGAAGAACTGGGCACATAGCACGTATAAATGTTTGAACGTTTAAACGTTTGAACGGGTTTCAGTTGAAAATCAAATTTGGTTAAGCACAGACGCGAATTGATCGAATACAATTTTCAGGGGAAATTTAACGATTTATTTATAAAATGAGTTGCCATAATGTTAAACTACTAATACTTCTGCTCAGTTGTTGTTTCCATTGCACTCAGCTGCAACCTGCTCCTTTCTCTGATCTCGAACCTTTGGCGGAGAATGAGGTGTTTTTCACTGGTTTGGAGGACGACGTGGACTGGAGTGGAGCAAACTGGAAGCTGGTGATCCCCTGGCTAATGGAGCGCCAGAAGCTGCGTTTCTGCGTTTCCCTTGCCAGATTCGATGACCAGTTGGTGCCCGGAACAGCCTGCCAGGCCCTTTTGGCCAATGGGCCCCTCATGGACAACTGCGACATCGGGAACATCGAGGACCTGACCATGACCATGCGCTACGCCTTTGGCGAAATCCTCCTCGATACGATGCGAAAGTGCCGGCCGGGCCTGGAGCTCTTTGGAGTTCGCTGCAGGCGGATGGCATAACTGGAGGAAAGCCTGTGACAAACAAATATTTTTATTCAAAATGCGAAATTGCATTTCTTTTATACATGGAGTAGGTCATAACAAATGTCATTGTATTCAATACGGGCTTAGATGGCCAAAGTTGAGTATAAACAGAGAGTATCGACATAACAATATTAAATATTTTCATATTTCGACTCTTTGTTTTCGCAGAAACGCTTTCAATATAACAAAAGGTCAATCAAAATATATCATGTGAAAATCTGCAAAATAATATTAATTAAATTAACTAACGCTCAATTTTAAACAAATAGAAACATTCTAGTATAGGACATTTTAATTGAATTTTCAGCTGACTTTTTTAATTGAACCGTATTAGTACTTATTTCATATTTAACAAAAAACCTCACTGAAATATACTTTTTAAAATATGTCAATATATATCAATAAGTCTTGCCAAAATGATCACATAATGTTGTCACAGAAAAAGTTGTTTTTAATGGAACTGTGTTATATTATATTTATGTTTGTTGCTTGACCTATAATTCTACCCATTTCGTCTATGCTTTAAAATGTTTGTATATCAACAAGTCCGAGGTATTGGCCAAAATGATCACATTAGGTTGTCTCTGAAAAATTAGTTTTTAATGGACAAAAGTTGATTAATATTTGTGCATATTTCTGCTGGCCCTACTAATTGTTCCCATTTCGTCTCCTAAGTGCATTGCTAATTCACTTTATTGAGCAATTTTTCATCGTCTGCCCCGTCCTGTCCCCTGTCATTTCAATATGTCAATAAAAATCAGAGAGGAACTGAAACTGGGTGAAGGACTGAGTCCGAGTGGCGAGTCCTTGTCGAGTGCAGTGCCTCCATGACAAATGACGATTATAATTTGTAAAATGCGCCCATCTTGTTATCCCCTCAGAAATCCTTGCCCCGCCCCCGATATGTTCGACTTGTGGCCTAGATGTTGCCGTCCGTCCGGCTTTTCCCCATTTCTATTTCTGCTCTCGGATTCAGTTTAGTTCATTGCAATTGTTGTTGCAATTAGCAGAAGTGAAAGTGGGTAGCAGGGGTAACATAAGCACAACTGATGGTTTCAATGGGCTAAATTGCACAGCGCAAATGGCAGGCGGTGGGTGTGGATAAAGCCGTATTGTTGCTTCTGGCAATTACCGGGCAATGTTTAAGAGTTCAGTTTCCATTGAGAATTTTCACATTTCAATGGAGGCGCTGTTATCTTCCCCACCGGCCTTCGATCGATTGGCGAAGCACCTACAAACATGGGAAAGTGTTGCACTCCCCCAAGCGATGCTGTCAACAAAATAAAAGCTTTCCAAATCAGTTTCCGAACTGAAATTGATGGAATTTGTGCTTTGAGTGTGCATCAATGCCACACTAGGCTATTGTTATTGGCAAGACAGAAGTCTGTTTAAGCAGTATATAAATCGTATGAATTTAAAAAAATAGCCAAACTATGTGTCTGAAATCACGTAACAACCTCCTACTTTGCAAAAGAAAAACAATGATTTTTTTTAAATTTTTGTAGTGGAATTTTTGCTTTGTAGATTTTATTATTAAACAAAATTATATTTCATAGGGGTGAAATTCCTAGCAATATTGGCAATGCAACTAGTTGTCTTTAATGACGTTTGATCTCTGCATTGCCAAAATAAAAAGAAAGGTTTCTTTTAAAACAATTATATCGGGCTAAATGGCATTTTATTTCAGAATATGTTTAAAACTTCGAAACCATTTTGTTTTAAAATATTTCCAATAGCCTGCTAAGAAAAAAATGAACGAAAAGTTTTTTTATACTTTTAATTATATTCAATAATTGTATGTTTTTTTCTTTTCACTTAATTTAATATCAGAGATTTTTAACATTGTCAAAAAAGAGAAATTAAAATGTTGTATGATATTGTCCCAAAAAACCTTTATATGCATATAAATAACTTGATTTATAAATAACATGTCACCTTCGTCGGGGTAATACATGTACTTCCAAATTCAACCAGACTGTTTGAATTAAGCATGTACGCAATAAAGTTCCACTTGCTTTGGCAGGAATCGTAGCGAGCGTTCCTTAAGCGTTTATCTGCCACTTCCAAGGACTCTTCAAGCTGCTCCCCAAATTATGGGCAACTTCTCTACAACATGGCCAAAGCTAAATGTAAATTAATGAATTGTTTAAAGTACTTAAAATATTTACGCTCAAAGCAAGTGGATGAGCACTGTCCCGCCCCCCGTGGACTAGCTTCAATCCAGGATGCTGAGAGGCGTGGGCTGCTGACCAATGAATATGCAAACGATTCCACCACCCACGGCCACTCCCAGCCCAAAGTTCGTTAAAAACGCAGCATAAGGTCAAGGAGATGCTGGGGAGGAGTGATAGACAGAGGACGAACACTGGCACCGAAATAAGGACTGTTAGACTTCTCGGCATAATTCTAAAATATATTCAATTTTATTTTATGTCCCTATTTCTCTGCAGAACGTTGGGGCATTTCTTACACTATCTGATAAATGAACTAACTAAAGTAAGAATTATAGAGAGCTTAATAAATAAGCTCAACCCAATTGTCAATACATACAAATATTTTTAATAATATGTATTTAGATTATATTTATGAACTAGTGGCACATTTAAAAAAAATGCCAAGTATAAGAATTTAAATAAAATTTATGAACATAGTATGAACATGTCAGAACTTAGATAAAATTAAAAAGATATTTCTTACAAAATTTGGCAATAAGAAAGCTGGTAACATAAGGAAAATAATATGGTTTCGAAATTACTAAATAAATAGTTTAAAAGTTGCATTCTTTTGGGAGTGATTTTCTTTTGAGATGCTAGTTATTTTCAATATTAGTTCATAGAGGGTGCCATAAACTAATATTGAAAAAAAATATTTTTTTGTAGTCAATAAATTCAATTGTGATTTTAAAGACTTTCTTAAAAAAAGAAAATCAGGGCCTTATAATTGGCTCGTATTTAAACAAAATATTCATTCATGCATGGACTACACCTAGTTCCTGGCACCATCTGTTCCACAGTGCGTATACGAGATGGTGTCGAACGGTCATTAAGGCGGCGAGTAGAGAGCTGAGCTCGCTGTTTACGCAGCGAGGAAACAAGAGGAGCGGCATGAACGGCAGTGGCAACAGCCTGTCTTGTTACTTCTGGTGCCCCCACGATTTCCAGGCAGAGGCATCCTGCGGAGCCCGCTCCTCCTCTTTTCACCCCATCGCTCCTCCAACTTGCGACTGTTAATGTTCAGCCCCCTCGCTCCGTAAAATATGCATAAACAAATGAAACGAACTGACTTTGCCACTTGCGCACCGCCACTGCAGCTTTTGATGCGATGCAGCCCTCTGTTCTTTCGACTTTCGGTCTTGCAGTCAGTTGAGCTCGAGTAATTAAATTTTGCTCGAAATTCCCGGCATTTTCTTCTCTGATTTCGAATGAGCTACCAAATTTACTCACAGATTCCTGCTCGCTATTTGCACTGAAAGAATGAAAAATCTATTAATGGAACGGGACTGGCAATAATTTATGCAGCAGTAAGCCGATAACTGAGGTTCATTTGATAAGGCAGAAGGTACTTTAAATTGGACTTGCCAGTTGGTGGGTCAACATCGCCCGGAATACGGGGTCAAATGTCTTCGACGGTTCGTTGCAAATGAGATCGAACCAGATTGCAATCTCGGCACAGACTTCCCTCTGCATTCTTTGATTTCTGCCAGACTGAAACCAACTTGATTGCATTGAGAAGACAAAGGAATCGACCCATAAAAGTTCGATGCTTTTGCGAAACAAATTTAAAGGGTCACATGACAGTAGTATACTTATGAAAAAGAACGAAAGCTTGTAGTCTAATTTCACCCGACCAAAATTTTGCAAGCACTTTCGATATAAGCACTTTTGGTATAATTTTAATAATAAGTATACAATTTAATGTTAGCCATTTTGTTATATTTATTATTTAGTACAACATAAATGTGGTTTAGTTTTTTTGTTCAATCAAAAATGCAAAATCACATAAAATCCGAACCATTGAACATAAATGGTTGAAAAAGTCATTTTGTTCTAATGTATGTTAAGGCTAAATATTTGTTGAGACTTAAACCAGAAACCAGTTTTCCTATAAGTACAATAGCATGAGATAGCAAATTATTATTTCTTAAATAGTGTTTTATTGAATCCGAATAAATAAAATAAATAAATCAGATTTCTAAAATGAACTTTCCTAGTCCAAATAAAATTCTCACATTCTTAGATCTCAGCCACCAAATTTTCTTCCTCCTGTTCAAAATGAATTATTCTGTGCATGTTTTCCGAGATTATCGTTCGTTTACCTTTAATTTTTTCTCTGCTCGGGTGAACCGCTGGAAGGCATCATCCATCGCCGACTGGTGTGTCGGGTGGGCATCCTGGTTGGGTGGCATCCTGGTTGGCAAGGATGTGAGCCCGTGTGTGCGATCCGCTCGGACTGGCTCTTCAAGGCTCATTTATGACCCTCATCGCTGGTCACTTTTTATGCATTTTCCCACGCTGTTTACTTTGTATACAAACGAGTGGCACTTACTTATTTTGTGCCACATAATGAGCGCTCCTGATGGCCGCTTATAAATTATAAAGCATACCCGCACACACACACACACACACACACACACAAGCTGCCCAATAAACTTACCACTCACACCCACCCAATTTGATTTGTATGGCTTTTCAATTTGTGCTCTGGTGCTCTTTAGTTGCTTTCTGCTACCCTCTTTTTTCCTCATTTTTACCACATCGAGCTCGTATTTCCTTTTTGCTGCATTTGCCATTGTATAAATTTTTGGTATTTGCGCCAATTTCATTCCAAATTGAGCGCTGCCCACAGTCGTTTATTTTTAATGCACCCGGACCCAGGCCATCCGAAGCGAAACGAAACGAAGCAATATGGCCAAAACCATGGGCCGCTGGTCCTCGAAAGGGTCAGGTGGGGAAGGGGAAGGGGAGGGGCAGTGGAAGGGGATGGGGATGGGAAAAGCCACGGCATCAGAAGTGGATTTTTTCTTTACTTTATTTCCCATTTCTATTGTGAACTAGCAAAGGGATTTGAGCTTTATTTGGTTATATGCTTTTAGAGCGGAACACGTGTTGATGTGGCAGACACGGGTCCATAATGCTTTATCTTTAAATGCCACATATTCGTTGCAACTCAATATCAATTTGGGTATTATTTTAAATCTTTTGTGGTAAATTAGGATCACCGAGATAGACGCCCTAGTAAGAGCATCCGAATGGCGTTGCTCCGCCCACATGAAATCTCATTTTTTCCCAATTTAGTCCTTTGTATTATTTGCAGTGTGCATTTTGGACATTGTGCTGCCGGATGCCAAACACTCGCTGCACAGCAGGACACTCAGGCGAATTGCAGTGGGTGGGGCTGGGAGGATTCTGGGGCAGGAGTCGG